CAATACTCATCTTTTGTCCTTTTTACAGTGTTTCCTCAACAAGTCCATAAATTAGTTTTCACAATAAACTAGTCGGAACAACATAGAATACATACACATTTACTTTACATGAGTGCATCTTATGAAGTTTTAAACTCTTTTCAAAGAGCTACTGATAGAGAGAGAAATAATGGCGGCGAGCATATGAACTTAGTGAAGCAGATTCCAGTCACGCTCTTGCCACCCGACCCGTCCGTCTTATTTCTACGAGAATGAGTTTTGTTGACATTTTCCATACGTTTTCCTACACCCTAATTAACCAATATCAACGTCACCTCGTTGACTGATTCATCCACTATCTTTTTAATAACCTCATCCGGGCACATTTTCCCAAAACTAATTTTCATCACCTTTACCAGATTTAGGCTCTTTCTATAACCAAGTTGATCCGCGAACTAACTGACCCTCGGATCAAATATGGCCTACCCACTTGAAAGCTCTCCGCGGAATTCCCTGATGGATTCCCCGAGGGAATTATACGGCACGCTTTCAAGTGGGTCGGTCATATTTGATCCGAGGATCAGTAAGTCCGCGGATCAACTTGGTTGTGAAAAGAGTCTATCATTACCATCTCATGCTACCATGGATGGATTTTTTCTGACAAAATCAACAATTTCCATTATTTTTCCAGACATCACTCTGTCGATTTCTACACTTTAAGAATTCCCCTTTGAAAATGAATTACTTCATTTCACTTCACTTTGTTTTATTCGATCGAATGGTCGTGTGCTAGTCAAGATTAAAATCCAACTCAAGTTGCGATTCACTAATATGTCATCATTGTCCATATTGTTTGTATGTATCTCTCTCTATTTATCTATTTTGTTTGCATTGGATAAGATTGAAATAAGAAATTTTTTAAAAATGCTGAGAAGTTAACGTGATTTGTAATATCACATGTTCTTAACTTTAGGCCTATATATCCTAAATGAATATAGTCACATTTTCAACAATCCCTTATCCACAATAAAACGTGCTGTACCGTATAAACAGTGTATCTCTTACACGCTACCAGAAGCAAACTACCGTATAAAGAGAACGGAAGTTAATGTGAATCGTCCACATGCAGTTATTTATCGGGGTAAAACCTGTCCGAGTCTTGTTTTGTGAATCAGTACATACTTCCAGCGTGGGAGATCAACCCCTTGAGCTAACTCGTACTATTGAGGAGGGTAGGACGAAAAAAATTCCGGAAACGATTTTTAAACAAACCAATATCACCTTATCTGTGGACCCGTGGCGAACATTCGTAACGTTATGAATAGGTTTGATGGATCTTCATTCAGAGGCCCCATCCCGTGATTGGCGTTAATCAATATTTCCCCGTGAAGCTGACAAGTTGCGAATCTTTTCCCCATGTGTTAATACAACTTAACCTTGCCCTTCACGATCCAATCTCTCCTTTCACACACGCTATTTGTAAATTAAGCGTTAATCATAAGAGTATGTCGTGGTATTGTTTTACCAACTTTATTGCAAAATAATTCCCGATCCCAGTGTGTGTGAAATAAGAAGTCCACGTAGTTAGCTGAGCCCTTACCACAGACTGTTCTATCCAAGTTTTACGTGTGAACATTTTAATCACTAGCCAGACAAATGCACCCTGAGCTTCAGAGCTAACTTGACACTAACCTCTTCACTGTAGCCTATCTTCATCGTGTCAAGTAACCTCTGATGAAAATAGTTTGACCTAGTTTATATAAGCCAATCAAATCCATGTTTCAAAATTTTTCACCAAAGTTTGGTGAAAACGCTGATTGGTTGACCGTCAATCGGCAATCCTCGGCTGATTCCGCAAGCTCCATACTAACAACAAAGTTATTGTCGAGTGCGGAGACATCCGAGTAGTTCCGAGTGTATAACCGTACACAAAGAAAGCAAGGCGAGTGACTACGAAAAAGAATGTGTTAAGTTATCTCTTGATTCTTTGCAAAATATGAGTAAATCGGAATTGAAACCATAGGGTCTAGCAGTTTGAGGCCCTGCATCATTATCTACTGAGAGACGATGTTATTTGCGTGCTGCCCACTCAGGTTNCAAAGAAAGCAAGGCGAGTGACTACGAAAAAGAATGTGTTAAGTTATCTCTTGATTCTTTGCAAAATATGAGTAAATCGGAATTGAAACCATAGGGTCTAGCAGTTTGAGGCCCTGCATCATTATCTACTGAGAGACGATGTAATTTGCGTGCTGCCCACAGGTTACGGCAAGTCCCTGATATTCAGCCTTATCTTTGATTGGTCCGGATTTGAACAAAGCGCGCTTTGACTCGTTCACGTTCATTGGCTAGATCGTTTAATGAGTCATTGAGTGCGGGCTTTTAAATTTGATTGGCGGGCGGCGGAGGCAATCGAATCTGGTCAGAGGTTACTTGACACGATGAAGATAGGCTACAGTGAAGAGGTTAGTGTCAAGTTAGCTCTGAAGCTCAGGGTGAAATTCATGTGATCTAATTTAATAGCGAGAAGCAACCTATTGCGTCACTACTATCTCATGCATATTAATGAGTTCACTGCTGAAGGCGGAAGTCGGACAAGTACAGCAGTCTGCACGTTGAATTTCAATGGCGAAGGAAGGGACACCAACTGTTTCCTTCGTTAGATTGACCGAGGATGATGTCCCAGGAGCAAAATTTTCCTATGAAACAGCAGCTGAACATTCCAATATTCAGTTGAGACGTTGGCTTGCCTTGCAGGGGCTTAAAATCCAGTGGAAACCGGAGTGAACTGGTCGCAAGGTAGGTTCAGTGATATTTCTTGTGTCTGTAAAACACGTGTATCGGAAAGAGCCGTTCTTAAATATTCATGTATGTCTATACATCAGTGAAATATGAGTAACTCGCAGTTGCTATCATCGATATCACTGATAGGTTTTCGGGGATAAAATGAATATACTAGTTAACATATTCCGTGTGTATCAAAATATGCGACCGAACTTCACAGTGTCATGTTCAGAAGCCTTGTACTATCGTGTTAATATAACTACGGTGCAATAAAAATATCTTCTTCCTCTACTTGTGAGATGGTTTAGTCAATGTGTGTACTAATGTCCAAATTTTGACTGTGCTATCAGCGTAAGTATAACACGTTGCTCTTGTATCCTCTTGTGTGTGTATAAACAAAATGAAAATGGCGGTCTCGTTTCACAGGGCCCACTGCAAGGGGATAGCTTGAATGTTTGTATTGATTTCCAGGTTGCATTTATGATTTAGACTTTCAAGGTTTATTACAGGCCTGTGATATCAATTAAATATAAGTAGTTTTAAAAATGTACTGAATTATTTTAGAACATGTCAGTTGATTGAAAATTTTGTTGAACTGCAGGTAGGCCTACACTAAGTTAGAATGTGTCTTAATTTAAAGTGCAAACATTAGCTGAGTAGTTATTTACTGACAGTACTCATACTATTGAATCAAATATATTTTTTATAATGTTTTACACATTTCAAGTTTTATGACCAATGTTCTTTTATACACATACACACACAAGGAAGTCATTGTTTTGTGTGGCATTATAGACATACAAGTTGGTGCAGGAGAGATTTATTATTGGGGCTGATCATTGTTTTTTAGATCATTTCCCTCCAATAATACCTTGTCTTTTGGTGTTCGATCATTGCTAATGTTTGTTTATTGTTTTTAATCTAGATGCAATGATTGCATAGCAAATGGAAGGTCCGTGGACATCGATATTACCATTGATGGGGGGAAATGGTACCAGAAGAAGGCAGGTATCTTGGTGGAAAGATCTGCCAACAAACCTATCCCGCCAGTCACAGGATGGAAGCCATTAGTAGCCACTTCGTTGCCAGCACAATACAAATACTGGTTGGTGGAGAGCATGCCAAGCCTTCCAGGGGATACGGATAACCAGTGTGTGGTTACTGGAAAACCTCTAGTACGAGGACAACAGTATGTTCAGTCTGGCAATGTGGGTTGTGTAGAGACTAAAGTGTCTGACAGTATATTTCATGTCAAAGCCAAAGTTTTGCCCTTTATGAGAAATGAAAATCCATACACTGTGACTATTGCTCTGTCTGTTGTAAGTGGAACTGTGTTGGATGCCACTTGCCATTGCTACTCTGCAGACAGGGGTACGTGCCTCTGATCCAGCATGCACAGACCTGCCGTGCCAGTGGCAGCAAAAGGAAAATGCCTGACAGCATCAACAAGAAAGTATATAACTCCAAGCGAAAGCAAACTAATGTAATAGCCTTTGACCCTCGGCCTGCAGGGACAATTATTACTGTAGAGGCCAAAAATAAGTTTTTGACTGACTTAGGTAAAGCAGATACCATATGTATGTGGCAGACAACTCTTCAGTTTACATATATAGACTATGACCTAAGTAGGGAAAGGAATGAGCTTCTGTCCTGATTCACATCTTGTCCTATCATTGTATTTCAACAGCACAGGTGTATCGATGAGAGGACTGATGGTAAATAATGAAGGTGTTCAATTTTTTTTAACTGACATGAATAGTTTTGAGATGGCATCTTTAGTGTTTATCTTATTCGTGCTCAATTTTTGTGGTTTATGTGCATTTTAATATGTATTGTATTAGAACAAGGTGATATAATAAACTATGAACAATTGTCATATGTGGCATTATCATTGCTCCCATTTCAATAGCACAGATATGTTAATAAGAAAACTTCTTGTATATAATTATATAATGAAGTTGTTCAGTTTTGCTTAATAAGTTTTAGTAGCATACAAAGATTAACAGAAAATAATTGGAAGGAAGACATGATTAGTCAGGATGATAAATATTTTTTTCAATAAACATTTTGCATTAATGATTATTAGTGTTTTCATTTTGTCCATTTGCATATTGCTTTTATAAAATTCAGGGGATCTAGTAAACACTGCACATCCATTCAATTGTCATCTAGTTTTTTTAAAACATATTGTTGCATTTTGATATATCACCTATTATTCGTAAAATTTTACAGTCTATAATTAACAGAAAAAAATTCTGAGTGCACCATTTTCATAATCTAAATCATAAAGGGGCTGTAAGGGACAGAAAAGGTTCCAAAACCCATACAAAACTTTTTTTTTTCTGGCAAACTATATTTCCTATACCAAGCGGTAAAGGTTGGCAGCAAGTTGCATCTTTCAAGCAAACTAGGACGTAACCTCACTTTTAGGGTTGACGATAAAAAGGGGAACTCTAGACGTAAATGGAAATAAAGAACATTTAAGAGAACAAATTTTGAAGTGACTCTCAATTAGATCTGAACACTGCAGATGCATTCATGGGATGAAAATAATTGCAAATGTTAATTTAAATTTGACAAACAATAATCCATTTTTTTTTTTCAAACGTATAAACCAATTTATTGCACAAGTCATGGAATATTCTTTGTATCATTATGTATATACTGCTTTCCTTTGTAGGTTCAATAAAAGAAAATACATAAGTTCACAATTTTCAATTAAAAATTATTACTCTTTCAACATCAAAAAACATTGCACAATTAAAAAACCCTGAAATTAACTATATACAGATATTGTTTTCTGAACCTAATTATGTCTACTACCTACTGTACTTATTTTGCCAGAGGGTCTTGGAAATTGACGAGGCAACCAGCTACAAAGACAGCCTGTGATGCTAGTTCTGTCATATTCAAAGGCATTGTACCTGCTATAAGTTTGAATTTTTTTAGGCGTTCATTGTACCTCTCAACATGGATTCGGGCTTTAGAAAGTTTTTTATACAGTAGCTCTTCTTGAGGTGTTAGTTTTTCTCTACCTTTTAGAAATGGAGGAATGTTCAAAGAAACTTGTCTAGAAAGTAATAAATCTTCTACAGTAAAACCTCTATCTACCAAAAGAATGTCACCCGGTTCTAAATAATCTAAAATTCCACACTTTGAAAAAATTTCACGGTCACTAATGGCACCTTCATACAACTCAGAAATATAAACACATGCACCATTTGGCGCCACTGCAATAAGGCATTTGAAAGTATGGTGATTTTTGTAGTTGGAAAACAGATTGCCTTGCCTTGCAAAATACCTAGGCATCTGGACAAAAAACTCTGTACAATCAACTGAACATCTGACATTTTTAAAACCTTTGAAACTCTTTGGCATAAACTTTCCTAAAGTTAACCGATCTGGAAACATATCGGCCTTCAAATCAGTGAAATGAAAATAAGAAATTGTAACCATGTTGTAAAAATGCAGCGTACTGAAGTAATTGACAAATTGAATAAAAATCTAAGCATAAAAAACCCATAACCACGACGCAATCTAACTAACATAATAAAAAGGTCATCAACAGGTTGGAGGGAGGTGTAATGGGGGTTGATAAGGTTTTCAGTTGGTTTTTCAGCAGCATGTTTTCGACTTTACTTTGAAGGTGCATTTTGTCATATGCAGTCTGTGAAGCTGCATCAGTTACTGCCTTTTCATCAGCCTCAGTATTTTTTGTCAAGTGACACTGACAGGGAGCTTTGGTCTGAACCCCAACAGAAGCCATCTGGAATATACAAAATAAAAAAAGTTGTCATAAAGCAAGAATAGGTATTTTAAAGTAGAACAGGTGAGATAAATAAATAATGTCTAGCCCTGGATCCCTCTTTTGAAGTGCAGGGCAAAAAGATAAGAATCTAAATAGAGTGATGTAATGATGAATGCAGGTGACCAGAACTGCACTAACAATGAAGAATGACTGGAGATCTACCTGTAAAGTCAAGTGACAGCTGCAAACAATACTAGAAAGGGGCAAGTGCTAACTACATGTTTAATGCCCAAACTTATTGTAAGGTGTCAGATAAAAATATGGCATAAAAATACAGGATCTAATTAAGATGACATTCACTCTCTGGAAAGAAAGCAGAGGTGCAGAGGTTTTATTTTGACAACAAAGAAAACATTAATTACCAACATTTGTAATTTATATAAACATATAATACCTTTGGTCTCTCATTCAAGTTGTCCCTTCCGTCATGTGTTGCTTCAGCATGGTCCACCAGTGTATCCAACAGCTCATTCAGTTGGACCAAGGCCTCAGCAGCTTGAATTTTATCCTGAATATTAATAAATAAAACCATGAATTGTTAATATTCTCATGCTGAATATTTTCCACATGACACGTGATAAAATGTACATGCATGTTTTATCTTGAACAGAACTTACCAAATAACACCTATCTTTAACATGTATTTATAAGCTGATTGATTTTTTAATGGATTTTCTATACCTTTATATCATTCTTAATGTTTCCCTATGCATTGTCCATCTAATTTTGAAAGCAGTTTGACACGTATACAAATCATAAGATTGTAGGCTAGCATAACTGCTCATCCCACACTTTCAACAGCCTTATTGACACCTATCCTAAAAGATTGTCATCTACCACACCTACAATTAAGGTGATCACACCTGTACTGCAATGAAGCCTGTCATGGTATGGTTCTTACTATAATTTCATCTGAATTTTTCACTATTATGTAACCTATTCAATGCCTAGTTGACTTTTTCCAATGATGGCAGTAATTAGCTTGTTTTATCACCAGCCCTAAAATCTGACATGTGAACAGTCAATCTTATCTTTAAAAGCTATGTTCTTTCCCTCTTCTCACTTTAAATGGATCTAGCCACTTTCAAATTAAGTTGTCCTTATACATAAAAAGTAATATATTTAACCCTAGACAGACATGTAAACATTTTGTATGACATTTTCACATATATAACTTTTACAATAAACAAAAACATGTGCTAGATTACCTGGTCTGCACAGCTGCTATCCTCTCTTTCATGTGTTCCAACACCCTCTTCTGTGCACGATGAGAATTCGCCAAGCTGGAGCAAGGCCTCTGCAGCTTGAAGTCTGTTTTGACGTACCACTGGAGGCTTTCTCCTAGGGCGACTTATCTTCCTCACCTACATCAGAAAATAATATAAAACGGCTCATTTCTACATTGTTTAGAGAAGAATCTTTAACAATAACCAATTTAAACCTCTTTTACTGACCGATGGCATGACTATGCAATAGATTCTTTATTGATACACCTTCACAAATAAGGTACAATCAAAGACAATACATCTAACTAATAGTACAAACAAGTAATGAAAAATATACATGATTTCAATGTTTACTTGTAGAATAATACCAATAAGTAAGTTTATTAAAAGATGAAATGTATAATGATAAATGCATGTTAAAGCAATCCAGTTGAAAAAAAAAAAAAAAAAAAAAAAAAACGAAACCATGCACTATACAGTACAGTACTTACTCTTTCTGCACTGGCAGTAACAGGTATCGGGTCTGGGTAATCTTCTGTTGGTCCACGACCGCCGACAAAATGTTTACTGCAAATGTACGTGGACTTTGTTATTTTCTCAACATTGAATTGATCTTTTGGTCGCCCGCATGCATAGATCCACTTTTCACACTTCTCCCGTTGAGTTTTAGGCTTTGGAAAGTTGATGAAAAACACCCCTTCCATCTCCGGTCTGTTAGGGTAACGCGAGTCATTTCTGCAGGTACCATAACAACAATGTTTTGTGCAAACCATATTCAGAGTGTAAAGCACTGAAACGTTTGTTTCTCTTCGATGAAAGTCACGTCACTGTCCCTGTATACACACTGTCACACTGTCTGACTTCGTTTGTTTGTCCGACCATGATAACTAGGTCAAATGTGACGGAAGATCTGCGCGCGCATAGATTCTAAAAATAATCGACTTGCTTCTCGCTATTCTTCTGCACTCATTGTGAACACTGATATTATATTATGAAAATAATTTAGTCTGATGAATGTCAATATTAAAAAAGAATATGCTTTAATGACATTCAGTGAGGCTTATCCAAGTATAGCAAAGGTACATAGCCTACATGTAGATACATGAGGATAGATTGACAAGCAGACAGACAGACAGAATAACAGATAGATAGAGGATGGCGTTTCTGAGGTCACTTCATCGTTACATTCGTATAAATGGAGATTGGGTGCTTTCTTTCTTTCCCTTAAAATAACAGCAATGGATTTTAACATGCCAATACCTAGAGAGTAACAGATAAGGCGATCTACCTGAACCCTTGCCTATTATTTATTGCATGTCTAACTTAACGGTGAATTGTGTCATGCGGTTTAACTTCGTGCATATTTTTATCTAATTAATCAAGGAAGTAAAAAAATCAAGTCACCTCATTGGCTCCAGCATCACTTTCCGTGTTTTTTTAGCGTAAACATATCACAGGTAACCTACAATTATACAAGTGCCAATCGGTACTTTGTACCTGAGTATATCCACCCCTCAAAGAAGTAATAAATGAAGTCACCTTATGGACCCAACATCACTTTGTGTTGTTTTTTTTTAACATCTCACAGTTTACATACAATAAAGCAAGTGCCAAACGCTACTTTGTACCTGACTATATCCACCCCTTTACCAGTGACACACGTGACCTTGATTACCGCCTATTGTGTTAACGAGTTGGGTGTGTGTCAAAAAGGTTTGTGCAAAACGCCAATAGATATTCTTTTTCTTTAACGCGATTACAGCGCCCCAGTTTACAACAAATTACTCTGTCGGTACACTTGTCCTTGTTATGTGCCGCAGGCCCTCAACTAGAAATTTCGAATAGGGACGGAGGGATTCCCTTTTTATTTTATTTTTACTTTTATTTATTTATCACACATTTCTTGAAAATCGAAATTTGGTGACCGATATAGCTTACCCTAGATCAAAAATTTGATTGAGAGCGGACCTTATCTCGATCTAAAGGGAGCTTCTTTTAAAATCCTTCCCCTTCCTACGAACCTGCGCGTGTTTGACGCTTTTGATCAGCTGCGCTTAGTTATATTGCTACCTGCATCTTAAGCGTTGCAATTCATTCACATACGTGTTGATGTACTTTGTTTAAGTAAATGCAGTTACCATTATTATTGTTATGTAACTTATTTAATTAATATAGTTTTAATGAACTTTCAGGCCCGATAGTGGTCCTGGTTTTAAAAGCTGTGAACTTGAGCGCGTCGGTGAAAGTGCGTTCACTGGGTGCCTATACATGTATTATTGCTTGCCTGGGTTATTTTGTTGTAATATTACCATCATCAATTTTATGTAATATTACCAAATCAATCGAATTTAAGTTGAAATGCAAACAGATATTTACACGAACTATGCATTTTTTTATTGCATGTTGATAAAATTTGAAATTGGTACTGTCATAATAAATCTATATCTTATACCGCCCCGTTGAAACCATCCTTTGGTGACCTTTGACCCTTATAAGCGAGTACTTGACGACTCATGTTCAGTAGGAAGAAGACACTTCTCATTTCTTGACGACTTTCACAATAAAAAGTATATTCACTAACACACAATACCTTCCCTAAAAATAGAACGCATTTGGGGAAGATCAGTTTACAATGCGTGTTGTAAGCCTATGATAACTAGAGGAGCTTCCGTCGTTTTACTAGCGCGTACATATTTACACCGAGATCAACGATTTGGAGTCCGGCACAATGGACGGCACTGGTAGGCCTACATGTATCCCTGAGTTGTGAACGGTGAGAGATATTTCGATTTCATACTTATTGATGCAAAATCATACGGTAATTTTTACCAAGGCTACCCCGTACGGCAGTATTATCAGATGGTAGGGGCCAGTTGATTTAGAGAGATTTGTGGCGTGAATCGTGATATGTGCGTATAGATACCTATTCAAAAATGTCATGCGACCGTGGCGATATACGCTTTATTCAGTTTTAGGGATTTTTGGGCGAAATGCGAGTTCTTTTGCGATATGTATGTCTGATAATACACTGCTCTTCTCTTGCGCTATGTCTTGAACGCGTCGTAGTAAGGTGTGTTCTGTTATGTATTGCTCGGTTGACAGAGTATTATCTCACACAAACAGGTAGGCTTTTTATGAAACCGAATTTTATCTGTGTCACTGTACCAATCAGCGCGGTTTTAAATGTGCCTACAATTGATTACAGGAGCTTGACACAAGCAAGGGGTCACATCAACATATTCAGTTCCGTTTCACCTTTATGTGGCCTTACGTTACTAAGACCCCATTTCCAGAGATTAGATCGATCTACTTTAGATCGACCTAACTCCCTTGGGGTTCACGCTAAATAGCTGTCAGCCGAGCGGACACGAAAGTTAATTACCCCTTTACAGCTTGTAGTAGGCGGGACGGACATTTAAGCCGGATTATCTGACAGTAATCTAGTGAGACTCCCCGCGGGGATAGATCGATCTAAAAGCTCTGGGAATACAGCCTAAGTTAAGGAAGCCTCATTAATGCAAGGGGGCGTTCGTAAAACACGCTCTCAGTTACAATATGACGAAGACTATTAAGAAACTCTGAATTTACAAGTGTGCTTGATCGTGCCGTGTTTTTGATAATTCCATTACAAATTTTGCTGACGTGTCGTAGTCACTTTATTTAAATGGCCGGCATCGTAGTCAAATGGATTGAAATTTAAACTTTGGATTACCTCTTTTGCAGAGGCGTTAAAGTTAGTTTCTACTCACTTACGCGTATTCTTAGTATTATTTTTGACAGACTGTCGTTGCTTAATTTGTGTGTGTGTGTGTGTGTGTGTGAATAAGAAGCTAGAAAGAACTTATATATGCACATTTTGAGTACTGCCTTGTAAGCAGCTCTGGTGTTTTGTGTATGGGTCATGAAATCCAGGCCCAGGAAAACCAGCGAAGAGTTCGACAGTACGGACAGTGTACAATGCACCGGCAATAAACAACAGAACTTGCCAAGATATCATTCTCCCTGCTATGTCTTGACGCTGATAGAGGAAGACGTTCGGTTGCGGATGTTATTGAGCTATTGCGTGCTAAATTAAGAACCTTAACAAGCTCGTGGCATGCACAACCACGAGCTGTTTGTCCTTATTGGACGTTATAAGAGTGTATTTCCATTACCCCCCCCTCCTACAGTAGGGCGATTGAACTTTTTAGAACAGTCAAATTATTAACTGGTTCTGATTCTTTTTTATTTCTATTTTATTATTTATTTTTTTTTTTTTTTTGACAGTGCTATTTTGTGTCATTTGAAATGAGAACGGGTGAATATCTGACCGCAAGCTGTGAACCCTGCTACATGCACATGTAGCTATATTGTAATCAGCATCTTCTACAGGTATACACCGGAACCGGACTAAAATTTTTCCCCTGTTACACCGGGCTTGTAACAGCATGGGGAAAGGATCACCC